GAGGGGGAGGGGGGCGAATGGGGATTTAGGGTTAGGGTGGGGGCAGCGAGCACGCCCTGCACCCACCGTTCTCTTATCCCGGCTTCGGCTCCACCTCGACGTTTTCTTGAGTCCCGTTGCGAGGGAAGAAGCCCTCCCTGTGGGGTCAGGCAGACCCGTCCCTCCTGGCTGTGTCCCCGGGTCTCAGAGCCTACCAACCTCCGTTTCGCTGGGATCAGAAGCCTTGGTGGCTAGGGCATGTCCTCGGGCACAGCGCAGGTGCCCACAGATCTGTCTCATTTCCTGGCTGTGGGCGTGTGTGTTCTGGGCAGGCAGGGGCAGAACTGACCCCAGAAGGACCGAGGGACTGCCCTGGGGTTCACTCTCTCCCTGGGGGCCCCCATGTCTTCCTGACCCTCAGAGGTTGTTGGTGGGGTGGGGGCAGCCCGGGAGAGGGTCTCGAGTGTGTGCTGGAGGTGGGCATACGGGGTGGTGCCTGTGGGGACTCCGGCCTCCTGAGTGTCAGGCAGTGAACGAACGGAGGGGACCGTGCCTGTCTCTGGGGACAGCGCGTGGGGGTCAGCGTAGGAGGGAGCAAGGGTTTTCCTGAGGGGGCGAGGAGCACGTGTCAGGGACACGTGTCCCAAGGGGTGTGTGAGAGCGAGAGAACACCGGCGGTTCGCAGGTGTTACTTGTGTGTCTGAGGTGGGAGCATGGCGTGACAGCTCGTGCCTCCAGGTGTGTCCTGTGGGCGTGAAGATGGCACCGGCCTGCTTCGCCAAGGGTGTGCACGGTGTGAGAGACCTCCCTGGGCCTGTGTCTCAGAGGAGAGTGGGTCCATGTGCCCCTCAAGGGAGGTGTGTAAGCGCCTGTGATTGTGTGCACACGTGTGTGCAGCACAAAGATAAACCAGTTTCAGAGATGGCACAGGGCACTGGATGTGTTCAGGACTGAGCTCCGGCCTCCTGACTTCCCTCACAGACACTGTGGCATGGGGGGGTTAGTGGCCCCACAGCTGCCTCCAGACGGACAAAGGAACCCGGGAGTGCCCTGTGAGCATCCCTGATCCTCCCAGTCCCAAGCCGGGTGGAGTCCAGCAGGCACTGAGGCATCAACCCCGGCCCCCACACCCACCGGGGTGGAGGCCCAGGGCTGTAGGCAGAAAACCCAGCCCCAGAGAGGACTACTGGGTGACCTGAGGCCAGTTGGCTCCCCTCTGGTTCCTGTGCCTGCCTTCCTGGGACAGAGCTGGAAGAGCATTGTGAGATGTGTTAAGTGCAGCTGTGGAGGCCGCAGAGCTGGGGAGGCCATGGTTCGACACCAGGCTTGGGCCTCCTGGGACTTGGGTTCAAGCCCCGACTCCTCCCCTTGGATACTGACCCGGGGCTTTACGCCCATGCCCGCCAGCCTCAGTTTCATCATCTGCAAAACAGGGTCCTCATACTCACCTCCGAGCAAATTGTACCGATTAAACCAAATAGAACCATAGCTCCAACCCCCACGGCCCTGCTCATGAGCCTGGTGCTGAGTTCCAGGACTGGAGTCACTGGATCCTCCCAGCAATCCTTTGAGGTAGGTGCCCCAATGAGTCCCACTTTACAGATGAGGAGACTGAGGTCACAGACCTCATGCACCGTGCCCGTGACCGGACAGCTAATAGGTGGCGGCCTCAGGGGTTGAACCCGGGCAGGTGAGGCTGCCAGGACCCGCTAGACACATCGTGGGCAGCACCCAAGAGGGGCCATCCGTGCCACACGCAGGCCTCCCACTCGATGCCCAGAGCAGCGGCGGACCCTCGTGCCCAGCAGACACAGCTCAGAGGTTTATTCCCAGGGGAGTCCCGAGGCACGACCCCCTGAGCACGGGTGGCAGGGCAGCCCATCCCGGGCCCTCTCTCAGGCAGCTCAAGCAGCAGCAGTCCCATTTCACAGAGCAGAGCAAGAAGCTGTGGAGGGGGAGGGGGAAGTCCAGGGTCACTGGTGAGACTCGGAGGCCGGGAGGACCCGGCCGGCTCAGACCGAGGGGAAGATCAGGAAGCCACTGAAGACGCTGTCGGCCTCCGCGCCCTGGTAGATGCGGCCCCTGGCGGGGTCCTTCTCGATCCACACCTGGTCGCCGTGCTGCAGCTGGAGCACCGAGCCCCCCGACACCACCTGGAAGACCCCCTTGCTGTTGTAGTCGCAGAAGCCCAGGGAGCGCCGGGCCTGGCTCCGCGAGGAGGACACGATGGACAGACAGATGTCCCACTTGGACACCACCTGGAAGGTGAAGTAGTAGTAGCCGGCCACGGCGCACACGAACATGCCGGAGTTGGTCTGGTAGGCGCCCTCCTGGTTGGTGATGACCGTGTCGAAGATGACCACGTTCCCACCTGTGGGCGGGTTCCGCAGGACGGCCGAGAAGGCCGGCCGTGCCTGGTCCCTGATGTTCCCCGGGTTGCCCTTGTGGCCTTTCACTCCCGGGGGGCCATTCAGCCCCAGGGGGCCGCTGGGCCCTGGGTAGCCCACCTTGCCGGGGCTGCCGGTGGGCCCCGGTGCCCCCTGGTCTCCTTTAAGGCCTCGGATGCCCGTCCGGATGCTGGGGGCCCCTGTGGGGAGAAACACCAGATCGGGAGTGAGAGTCCAGGGCCTGCCGGGCCTCAGAGAGAGGCCTGGAACCCCTGGATCTGTGGGGTGGAAAGCAAGGACATGCCTGAGCCCTCAAGGCGTGGACTCTGACGGGCCGTGTGACCTTGGACCGGTGTCTCAGCCTCTCTGAGCCTCCCCTTCATCTATAAGACGGACGAGGGTGAACAGGCGCTTGGGGTGGTGTTGGGTTCCGGGGTGTGCAGGGCACTCTGGTGGCCGCCTGCCCGCGGCGGGGCACCCACACCCCTCCAGGCTGCCAGCCCCCACTACTTCCGCTCGGGGGCCACATGCAGGATGCCCAGATGCTAAGTCATGAAGGTTTCTATGGGGGACCAGGAGGCTTGAGGGGAATCACCGGACACTCTCCTTTGCCATTTGGTCATGACCCCCCTCCCTTTCCCACCACCCTCAGCCTTATTTCTAAAATGTGAGAGTCTCTGAAGCCTGAAGGGGCTGGGGAGGGAGAAGCAGGGACAGAGTTGGTGTGCCGGAAGGAAGCAAAAAGACAGTTGCAATGCACTGATTCCTCCCAAACTTAGGCTCAGAGAGGGTCAGTAACTTGCTTGAGGTCGCACAGCAAGGCAGGGGCTCCTGAGTCTATAATCTGGGTCCTACTTTTCCGGTAACTGATCAAGGACTGGGTGTTGTTTCTGGACTTTTCACGTTAGTTGTCCAAAGCCACTCATTCTCCGGAGGAGGAAAGTGAAGCCACGGAAGGAGAACCCAGGCAGGAGGGGGCATATGGAGAAGCTGTGGGTGGGGGCTGAAGATACTGCCCGGGCCCCCTTCAGCTCCTGGGGCCAAGTGCAACTGAAGGGGGTTCATGGAGGGGACAGGTGGACTTCTCGGCGCTGCCTCCAGCCTCTACCCTGGAGGCCAAGCCAGGCCAAGGTCTGAGGGGCTGGGCCCAGGGGGGTCAGGCTTACCCGGCTCCCCTCGCTCTCCCTTGAGTCCTGGCCGCCCAGGTCTGCCGGGTGTCCCTGCAGTGCCATCCTTCCCATCCCGTGCTCGGCACACCTCCTGGGTCACCGTGGAGGCCAGGGACACGGCCAGCATGCAGACCGCCAGCCACCTCCAGGGAGCCTCCATGACGCCTCTGTGGAGACACGGGAGGGTCTGGGAGGTGATGTCACACACTCGCATGCCCAGCTCCCACCGTGAGTCCCACACACACAACGATGGGTGCACGCTCCTCCCCCAGTGCACACCCAGCCCCTGGGGTCCGGGGTGTCCCCTCCCCGTCCAGCACCAGGGACCCAACGTGCACACACAACAGCAGACCCACACAGGCACACACACGCCACTGGCATGCCCACGTCAGCACACACAGGTCCGCCAACACAGGCTCTCGTCCACATACGCAAACTCAAAAATCTGCCATACACCTCTAGACACACAGCAGAGACCCAGATAGACTTCCTCCTTCCCGCGCCCGACACACACATTCATACAGTCCCACGGATGATCGATTTCATTGAGCAAATATTTATCGAGTGCCTGCTCCTGATTTAATTAACACCCTCTCACCCAGATGGTGGAGCTGTGTGTACACACAGGAACTCGCAAACTCGACTCCACCTCCTCGGCATGCTGGGGCCTTCAAGCGGCACCCCCACCGCCAAGGATGGACAGCCGGCTGTCCCTGGCCCCCCCTCTGTGAGTCACACTGCTGACTTGAGCACCCCCAGCCTTTTCCAGCTTCTCGTGTTGTGGAGGGCCTGGACCCACCAGCTGAGCTCTGGCTTGAGGAGTTCGAGTCCTTGGTCTGTGCCTCCCAGTCCTGTGTGTGCCCTGGGTCCTGGGTCCTGGGTCCAGGGTCAGTGCCCCCCTGTGGGTCCTGGGTCAAAGCCCCCTGGCCCGTCTGGGTCCTGGGTTCCAGTCAGTGCCCTCCAGCCCTGTCTGGGTCCTGAGTCCTGGGTCCTGGGTCAGTGTCCCTCAGCCCTGTCCCAGCACAGAGCCAGCTGGCAGTCCCTCCCTCCCTTGCCACCTCAGTTATCCAGACCCCAGGTCAGCAACTCCCCGGCCCCTCCCTCTCGGGCCCGGTCTCACCTGCCTCCCGCTGTCACCTCCGAGTGGACACTCCTGCCCTCCGCCCAGGGCCCCTGTGGCTCCCCACCCGGAGTGGCTCGGGCTGGCCAAGTTTCACATCCCTTCCCACTTCTCCTCCCCCAGCTCTGCCCTCAGACTTCCCCAGGGGCCGGAAGTTCCCTGGGGACATTTTGAGCAGACCTCAGCAAGACAAGGACACAGGACACCCCACTCCACAGCTGCAGGGGTGGGGTGGGATGGCGGGCGGGGTCTGTGGGGATGGGGCTGTAGACTGGGTGCAGGGCAGGGCTTGGAGGCCAGAGAAGCATAAGACACAGAGCGGAAGGATCTTCTTAGAGATTGGTCGCCCGGAGGCCGTCTTGTGATTATGAAAGCAGCACGTGTTCCTTGCTGAAAGCTTGGAGACACAGAAGAAAGAACGGTGCGTTGGTGAGGAGGAAGGGGTGAGCAATCTGCTTGCAGACTCGACACTTCCCAGTTGCGGGTCTTTGGGAAATTACTCGACACCTGGGCCCTTCTCATCTGTAAATTGGGAACAACAGATTCTACCTCTTCGGGTTATTATGACATTTTCATGACATACACATACAAAATAGCACACGGCGAACGCATAATCGTTAGCTTTTATCAACATTTTGAAAGATGGGCCAGGCACGGTGGTGCACACCTGTAATCCCAGCACTTTGGGAGGCTGAGGTGGGAGGATTGTTTAAATCCAGGAGTTCGAGTCCAGCCTGGGCGATGTAATAAGACCTCATCTTTACAAATATCAGAAAATTAGCTGGGCATGGTGGCACGCACCTGTAATCCCAGCTGCTTGGGAGGCTAAGCCCAGGAGATCGAGGCTACGGTGAGCCATGATTGTGCCTCTGCACTCCAGCCTGGGCAACAGAGTGAGACTCTGACTTAAAAAAAAAATTAAAAGCAGCAACAAAAGCCCATGGATTCTACCATCTAGAGATAACTGCTGCAAATGTTTGGCTGGATCGTGCAGTCTTACTCACCTCACTGGTTTGGGGCTCTTCGCTGTCAGCATAGACCCTGAGAACAGAAGTGGGTCCTGGGTCAGTGCTCTAGACTGAGCGGCTCTGTCTATCCCAGGCCTGAGATCGGCTTGTCTAGGCTGGGGCTGACCGCATCTCTCTGCGCCTTCTCGAAGCACATGGGATTGGTTTGGTTTTTCTAAGAATTTTGCCAGAAGGAGGAGGAAGAGGAAGGGGAGAGAGGCTGCCGGGAAGGCTGTTGCACATGGCTGACGAGGTGTGGTCTAAAGCCAGGGCTTTCCAGTTCTGGGGACTCCTTTGCTAGGCACAATCCTGGGTGGTGTCGACAGACATCAAGCAGACACAAACGGGGGTGTTTTGGTCGAAGCTCCTCCCACCAGCCGCTCCCTTGCTCCCCAGATCCGGGAAGTTAGTGGAGTTGGCATCTCGCCGGCTCAGCCCATACGTAACTCGCTGTGTGACCTTGGGCAAGTTACCTCAACTCTCTGAGCCCCACTTTCCCCATCTACCGAGGTGAGGGACGGGGTGGGAGGCAGGAAAGCTGCCCCAAAAGTCTCTAACGTCCCTTCCGCATCCACCTTCGTTGGCTGTATCAAGTCAGTTTCACTTTCCTGCAAGAGGGGTTAGAAACGTGACCTGTCAGAGCCAAGGGCCAGCACCCTTCCCTGTTTACTCCAGAAGACATAAAGGACCAGAGACAGAAGGACTTGCCCAGGGTCACACAGAGAGGGCAGAGCTGGCAAGAGGAAAAAATCAGATACTGTGAAAATCTTCTCAAAGGATAGTTTTCAAAATACCAAATACCCAGTTCCTATAGAAATACAGGGTGAGAACATGTCAGTGTCTTCTTGTAGCTTGTCATGAAGCAATCGGCAGGGTGACAGAGATAGCTCAATGCATATGGAAAAAAAATGGATACCTATATATGGAGATAGTAAAAAACAACAAGATTTCTGGAATAGTCGTAAGATTGCTAAGCTAGATGCCAAACAGGTCGACGTTCTTCAGGACAATGAAATCATAACGTTGAGGCTACCTTTGCTATTGGAGAGAAATTATTTGCATCTCTACCAGACGAAAATAATTTGCAGCTTATCAGTTTTCTACCAGTTAACAGCTACCTTTACAGAGTCTGGGCCCTAATCAATAGGAGATAATAAGTCAAGCAAAGTGACATTCCCCTGGAGTGTCAGATGACCCTTAGGAGGGCTTGTTAGACACGGCTCTCATTTGACTTTGAAAGGACACAAGTTATCTACTTGCCTGGTTTCCAAGTGTTGGATAATTTTACTTATCAGTCTGTTGCAAGAGAATCAACACCTCCCAAGAAATAAGAGGCATCGATAGTAACGTGAATATTGTGAGCATGAGGGGGAAAGGGGTCAGCGATAGCCTGGTGAGTGTCATGACAGGGACATTCTTGGGCAGTCGGGTGGGCGTTTGCTTCATGTTTCTGGAGCTCAGGCTCCCGGACAGAAGGCAGGGGATGGGATGGGAGAAAATCCCTCATCATGCTTGCAATGTCCTGATCCACGTGGTTCTGTCTCGAAGTGGGCCAAGCGTCTAAGGAACAACCAAAATGGCTTTTTTTTTTTGAGCCAAGGTCTCTTTCTGTTCCCCAGACTAGAGTGCGGTGTATGATCACGGCTCACTGCAGCCTTGACCTCCTGGGTTCGGGCGATCCTTCCGCCTCAGCCTCCTAAGTCGCTGGGACTACAGGCACACACCACCCGCCCAGCTAATTTTTTGATTTATTGTAGACTTCCCTGACAAGGTCTTACCAAGTTGCCCAGGCTGGTTTCTAACTCCTGGGCTCAGACAATCCTCCTGTCTTAGCCTCCCAAAGTGTTGGCTATTATAGGCATGAGCCACTGCACCTGGTCTCAAATTCTGCATGCTGAAGTCACAGCTCGTGCAAGAGTTGAGCCCTAAGATCAGTGTCCTGGGCAAGCATTGTAAATAGTCAGTGCTACCCCTGGAAAAACATCTTAGGGGAGCACCACGTAGGAGACCGATGACTGTCTCATGAGAGTCTTGTGCTGTTGCTCTGACATCAGAACAGATTTCTCATTCTCCAGTTGAGTACCGGTGGGTTGATGTGAACCAGCCTCCACCACCACATACAAAGAGCTGAATCTTTAAGCACGGAGCCCACTCGGTGGTGAGGTGTCAGACCACCAGGGCCCACAAGAGCAAAGGCCGACCTGGGGCCAGTGGAGCTCACCCAGCCATGCTCACTCCAGAAAAGGGCTCCTTGAGAGCCATGTCCCCTACCTTATTTCAAGGCAATGTCTAGTTCTTTCACTCCCTGAATCCCATTAGGCAAAGTGCAGGTAGTCAAATGCATGTATAATGCAACTCGGAGGTTCATTTTCTTTTTTAAAATGGAGGCATCATTTGCAGAGAGTAAAATACACAGATCTGGAGTGCACGGTCCGTGGCTGACACACGTGTGCACTCACCCCCCTACCCTACCTGGACCCGAATGTGGGTGTGCTGCCTCCTCGGCGAGGCACCTGGAGCCCCCCGGCCCGCAGCGCCCCCTCCTCCCTGGCGGACACTATCTGCTCTCTCGCCATGGGTGCCTCCTTCTTGTCCTTGACCTTTCCGTGTGTGCACCTGCAAGGCTCCTTCTGGGAACCCGCCTGGTGATCCGGCCCTGCTCCTGCGGGCGTCCCTTTGGGTTTCCTGCTGTGTGGGCTGCTCTGTGTGCACACACGGTGTCACACTGTGTGGGCCCGTCCTCCTGTGGGTGGGTGGTCGGGACTAAGAGGAACGAAGCTGCTGAGAACATTCTGGCACGAGTCCTCCTCCCGCCCGGCCCCATGAACACATGCAAGCTGTTCTCTCCCTGGTGTTTTAACACCAAGAAGGGGGCACAGAGTTTGCACCGCCCAGAACTCTTTCTTCAACTTCCCCTGCATCTCCCCGACCCTCTGCCTGAACCTTGCTTCTTCCCCCCACCTGTTCCTGCTCTTTCTCATGGAGACACACCCGGCCTCCCCTCTTCCTGAGTCCCCCTCCTGGGTCTGCTGG